TTTATCCGGTCGGTAGGTTCGAACAAACGGCCGTATGTAATTTCGAAACTCTATTCCACACGCGCTCCGGTACAGCATAGGTTGAACGCTTTCACTATATCTAATAAAGCGCTGTATTCCAGTAGATAGAGCACTACCACAACGCTCTTATGTTCCACTTAGTTGCAACCATCGTTCATTGAAGTGAACAGCTTCGTATATAATTCGATGTTTTTCTTCAATAAGCAGACACGAGGTTGTTATTATAGCATTTAAGAAAGAAAAATTTAAAGAAATATCTTGTAGTAACTCCCACATCCAACTTTCTATTAACCTCGGCATTGATTAAACAATTCTTTCCACTTTTGTTCAGCAAACACGAGGTGCTATTCCACCTCCCACTCACGTAAAAGCTGACGTTTCGGCGGATTTCGCCTTCCTCATAGCCTGGAAAGGATAAAGCCTGCCAACGGACAGGATAACATGGTTTTTAACCCTAATATTTAACCAGTTGTTGAAACACATTCCAGCCTATTTTACGAATACCCAAATGTTTCTGGATCGTCTACGTACTGCGCAGCCCAACAGCTCGTGCGTGATGGAGTCCTTCGACGTCACTGCCCTGTATACGAACGTGTCGAATGACTCCGCTATGCAAGCCATATTCGAACTCCTTCTACAACACGAAAAAGAAATAAACATATATAGCTTCAAGATAGAGCAGCTGATGGCACTCTTAAAAGAATGCTTGAGCTGCTCAATCTTCAGATGGTCCGGAAAGTACTACGTTCAAATAAGAGGGTTGGCAATGGGACAACGACTGGCACCAAGTCTCGCCATTGCGTTTTTGTCTAAGGTGGAAGCACCGGTGATTGGTCTCAGGCCGCTACTCTACTGTAGATATATAGATAACTGTTTTGTCCTTTGCTCGACACAAGAGGAAATGGACAAGTGTTTCGAGTTGTTGAATAAACAGTCAGAATGTATCAAGTTCACCCGAGAGAAACCGAAAGAAAAATGGCTTCCATTCCCGAACGTCCAAATTAACCTGTCAGAAAATGGCTACATTACGAAGTGGCACCGAAAGCCAAGTATTAAAAACATCCCGGTACATTACCTCTCTTCCCACCCCTCTCACACGAAAAGAGCGCTTGTAAGAAACATGTTTCGAACAGCAACCGTGTGCACGGCAAGAGAGCAGAGAGAGGAGTCCCGGAACTTAGCGCGGCAAATAGCCATTCCCAATGGCTACGAAACTGTAGCTCGGGATAGGTGTAGGAGAAATCGGAGGCCCCCAAACGATAACTCTAGCGACGAAAAGGTCTCGTTTATCCTACCCTCCATCTCAAATAATGTAAGTGCAGCTATAGAACGCTGGCTGAAAAGGGCCGCTCTAGAGAATTCGGTAGACGTAGTTGAAGTGCCACCGAGTAATCTTAGGCGCCAGCTAGTTCGTAATCGACTATATGACCGTCTATGTGCAACGCAAAATTGCATAATTTGCCCCAATGGTAAAGACGGTGATTGCATGAGCATAGGTATAGTTTATCTGATCTCCTGTAAGGCGAGCGGAGACGAATACATTGGCGAAACGGGCAGACCCCTCTGTGTCCGCATAAAAGAACACCTAGCCGGCAAACATGGACCACATACCCCGCTAGGCACGCATAGGACCCAGAGACATAACGGGGAGGACTTTGAAGTATGTGTCACGATCCTCGCACGCGAATCAAGAACACAGGCCCGAAAAACTCTCGAGGAATTCTGGATTAATTCCATAAATTCGAAAATGAACCGCAGGGAAGAATGCCTCATTATCACGCGTGATATAGGGCAGTATATAAAACTGCTATTCTGATGGGAGGGGCACATTATGCTTCCATGTGATTTCTGTGCGGTTGGTCTTCACACGACATACTCAGTGGAAGACTCATAGAAAGCGGTGAGTGTGCGGAGCTGTGTTCAATGTGATTGAAATCTTGGTTTGGCGTTTTCTCTGTTTGGTTATGAAGGTGTTTGGCCGAATAGATTGCTGTCAACATAACCTTTCCAGGCTCTGAGGAAGGCGAAATCCGCCGAAACGTCAGCTTTTACGTGAGTGGGAAGTGAAATAGCATCTCGTGTTTGCTGAACAGGAGTGGAAAAAATTAAAGAAATATGTTTCGAACCGCCACCAGCGTGTGCACAGGAAGACAGCAGAGAGAGGAGTCCCGGAACTTGGCACGGCAAATAGCCATTTCAAATGGTTATGAAACTGTAGCTTCTCGACGTAGGTATAGAGGAAAACTCACGCCCCAGAGCGGAAATTCTAGCGAAATTCAAACGAAATAAGTGCAGCCATAGAGCATTGCTTAATAACGACCGGTCTGGAGAATTCCGTAAGAGTGATAGAAATACTACCGGACACTCTAAGACGCCAGCTAGTTCGCAACTGCCTACCTGACCGTCTATGTACAACGAATAACTGCATAATTTGCCCTAACGGTAGAGACGGTGATTGCATGAATTCGAGTACAGGCTATCTGATCGCTCGTAAAGCGTGGGGGACGAATACGTTGACGAAACAGGTAGACCGCTCTGCGTCCACATAAAAGAACACCTAGTCGGTAAATCTAAATTAAAACCAAACACTCCACTAGGTGCGCATAGGATGCGGAACAGAACGGAAAAGATTTTGAAGTAGGAGTCACTATCCTCACGCACGAATCAAAAACATCAGCGCGTAAAACCCTTGAAGCGTTTTGGATCAACTCCAAAAATTCAAAAATGAACCGCAAGGAGGAGTGTCTTATCATCACGCGCGACCTGGTGCTATACCTCAGGCTAATCCAATAACCTGACACAGGCGCAGTCCTCGCCCATGTAGTACTCTGTGCGGCTGCTATCCATCAACTAACTTAAATACTTGCAAGAAATAAACGGCTTTGAAGAATGCGAAACCGCCGATACGTCAGCTATTGTATCCTAATAAATTCTGTAATAACAACTTCGTGTTTGCTTATTGAAGAAAAACATCAAATTATCAATCAATGCCGAAGTTAACAAAAAATCGGTCCTGGGAATTGCTTCGTATATAGTTTTTTGGTGGCTTATACTTTTTTTTGTCATCGTTTTCGTTTAATGACCAGCAGATTCAGTTAAGCGTACATCTATTTATTGGACACTGGAATTTCTAGCGCTGTCTTAACGGCCTATGTGAAACTCACCATACTCCTTTGTCGTTTTTTGTGATTAATGTATGCTTCATATTAAGTTCGTATACAAGCTGGTAATGAAAAGGAGTAACAGTTCAAAATCGGAAGCGTTATCTTTGTCTTAACACTGTCTATGCGGATTTTATTCCAGGGAGAACTATTCATGAGCTAAGAGGATAGCGCACACAAACTTCAAGGCAATTGACGTGATGGTCCACGTCTCAACTACATAAATGAACGTAAACGAAATATCTAATTGAACTAGTGGTAACCCAGTTCTGAAGTTTCGTTTAGCAGAAAGTTTAAATAACTATGAATTTTCAGAGCTTGAAAGGATAAAATTGATATGTACGAAATGTCTACCAGTTCAGCCGCTTATAGGTAATGTTTTCACTAACTTATCTAAACGTTTGCGAGAAGATCTTTCTGCTCAGTTCTAAAAGAGCAGTCTTAGAATGGCATCGGTGAATTCAGTTTTAATGGCTGTTTAATTTTTATGATAATGGTCGACGGCCCTGTGAACGCCAAAAAACCGTCTCCAAAACGTTGACATTATGAGTCAGTGTGACCTCATAGATGAAACATAATCGTGTGGCGACAAAGCTTCCCTAGATTCAGTAGTTAGTGGCAGCCTAATTCAGACTGATATTTGAACTAGAAACGACACCGCTGCCCATTCATATGAACTCTGTGCCGTTGGCTTCCACTTGAAATACTCAATGGAGATGTAATAGGAGTGAATAATTGTGTGAAGAGCTCATTTTTTCTTCAATCCGATTCAAATCTAAGTTTCGTGGTTTTTCTGTTGAGTTCATAGAGGAATTTGGGCGACTAAACTACAATCAACTTGACCTTTGGCATTGAAAAGCGAAGTCGTTTCCCGAGATTTCAACTTTTGTGAGTAAAGGGTATAATAACAATACTTTCACTTCATAATTCGACAGCAATAATTCGATGCGACTATGAATACACTTGTCGCAACAACGCCGAGGTTAACACCACTGGTTCGACCAATATGGCTCTAAACAAGGCGAAGGCTCCGAAACATTAGCCCAATAAAGGTTTCCATAGCACCCTCGTATCGTAACAGTTGTCTAGAAAATTACTGGTTGTAGCTACCTAGGGCTAATGAAAATCAGTTTTTAAGGTTAGCAGTAATGATAATAACCTCGTGTATGTTTACAAAAATAGCTAGTCAAATATGCATTGTTGATGGGTACGGTAGCTAACTTCTGAATTCAATTGTTTACGAACAACGGGAGCAACATAGAGTGTACGTGGTATAGGGGTGTTCCACGCAGCACACCCGCAGTCGTGGGTTCGATCACACGCACACAAGGTAAAAACGGTCATCCATCATCTAGCAATCCGCAAATTGACACCAAAATTTTTTTGTGGGAATAAAGATAAAAAAGAAATACGGACTTTATAGAGCGACAGGCCACCGCAACATGGCAAAAGTGTGTTAAATCACGTTTGCAATGCACAATAGAGGAAAATATATCGAGCATCGCCACAAGATTAAGCACATATTTTATTACCGGTTATATTTTTCGGTCCCACAGTCAATGACGAATTTCTTATGAGAACAACGCAACTACTGTAGCTAACGCTTTACTTACAACTAAAAAAGCACACACAACAGTAGTAAACGTTTATTTAACGTCAATCGAGAATGGCCTTCGATTTTCCCTTCTTTTTCAGACGAGCTGGGCAACACCTCTTGCCTCTTCAGATTTTGAAGAATTGTCACTATTTAAAAAGTTTAGCACCGTTTGAACAACAGCAGTTGGGAAAGTTATCGTCGGCAAAGTCTTCGATGGATTAATGAACGTAATCGTGGGATTCGTCGCAGCTGTATTAACTAGCTCTAACGCAGCTGTAGGGTTTGTTGTCCGACTACCTGTAACAACGGTTCGCTTCGTGCTGCCCGTCTTTGATGTTGTGCTCGAAACCGAACCTAGGTCGCTCGTTGATAAAAGCGCTGTCGTTTGCGTATCAATTGCTGTGGCTTCATCTGACGAGGCAGCTTCACCGGATCCCTGCGCGTCGGCCGTCAGCGATGCTGTACTCGAGTGCGAATCTGCGTCGGACGTTGATGAAGGGGTTGTCGATTTCGTATTAATTCCTGTGGCTTTATCTAACGAAACAGCTTCACCAGATCTTTCTTGGCCAGCCGTCATTGATGCTGTACTCGAGTCCGAATCTGCGTCGGTCGTTGATAAAGAGGTTGTCGATTTCGTATTAATTCCTGTGCCTTCATCTGACGAGGCAGCTTCACCGGATCCCTCCGCGTCGGCCATCATTGAAGCTGTACTCGAGTGCGAATCTGCGTCGGACCTTGTTGAAGGGGTTGTCGTTTGCATATCAATTCCTGTCGCTTTATTTGACGAAGCAGCTTCACCAGATCTTTCCTGGCCAGCCGTTACTGATGTTGTTGTCGAGTCTGAATCTGCTTCGCTCATTGATAAAAGTGTTGTCGATTTCGTATCAATTGCTGTAGCTTCATCTGACGAGGCAGCTTCACCGGATCCCTCCGCGTTGGCCATCATTGATGCTGTACTCGAGTGCGAATCTGCGTCGGTCGATGATGAAAGTGTTGTCGATTTCGTATCAATTACTGCGGCTTCATCTGGCGAAGCAGCATTACCGGATCCCTCTGTGTCGACCGTCATTGATGTTGTAGTCGAGTCCGAATCTGCTTCGCTCATTGATAAAAGTGTTGTCGATTTCTTATCAATTGCGGTGGCTTCATCTGACGAGGCAGCTTCACCGGATCCCTCCGCGTCGGCCGTCATTGATGCTGTACTCGAGTCCGAATCTGCTTCGCTCGTTGATAAAAGTGTTGTCGATTTCGTATCAATCACTGCGGCTTCATCTGGCGAAGCAGCTTCACCAGATCTTTCCTGGCCAGCCTTCATTGATGTTGTACTCGAGTCCGAATCTCCGTCGATCGTTGAAGAAGGGGATTTCGTTTGCGTATCACGTGCTATGGCTTCATCTGACGAGGTAGCTTCAC